TAGATGCGACGGGAGCGAAGCGACACAGAGCTTCTAAGGCTGGTTCTGTGGTGCTGTCGTACAACTGGGTCGCAGTGGCGACTTCATTCTTGCTGCTCTCCTGGTGAAATCATTCTGCCTTCACGCAGAAGAGCATACAGCCTTGTCCAACTAGTCAGCGTGACAGGCTGTACTTGGACCCCCAAACCGGCTTGCTGTTGATAACGTCTTGCATGTTGATACGCCTCCTGCGGACTTGTCCCCCAGTAGGGTCTGCAGATTGCATACAGATTTCGTTCGGGTCTTATTCAAAGTGTCCCAAACTTCGTCTTGGAAGACGCCCACCTTGTTATGCGCAAGCTAGTAACAGCCCGACGACCGTTTGTTATCTCTTCCAGAATGGCACCCGATGGTGCCCTGGATGTGGATGTGCATGGGCCGGACAAGGTAAGAACGGGGTTGGACTGCGTCTGACTGAAGAACTGGCAGGGTGCACCAATGGTGCACTTTTCTCACATTTACACCAAGTCGCGTTCCATGCCTGTTCTATTCCCAATGGTGTTAACCTTCTGCAGAAGCGTCAAAAGCTGGCAAAATTGACGGGGTTGGGCTTCGCCAGGGACATGGCCGAAGTCATCGTGGAAACGCTTGGGATGGACCCCATCGGGCAGTCGGCCGATGCCGCCATCGCCAAAACATTGTCTGAAGAAGGCTTGGTGGACTTGGCGTCAGTGAAGACCGTGGCTGGCGGTAAGAACCACTTCAGCCTAATTTGGTTTCACCGCTTGCTGAACAGGACTGGACAGGACTGACCAGGACTGACCAACCACTACAGGATATATTTTATCCGACGCTTGCGCTCTTTGCAATGGGTCTTGTTTTAGGTCGATGCCTACGCCCATACCAATGGAAGTTTGGGACCCTGGCATGTAACCGACTTTGTGAGCCGCTGCCTGTGACGCCAACTCCATTCGGTTTTGTTTTGAACGAAAGGTGCAAACTTGCTGTTTTGTCACCGCCTGCTTTCTGTCTTCCTTGCTGGCACAGAGGTCGAAGTCAACGCACGGCTGGCGGATGCGGATTCCGAGGTGGCAATCAAGTCGCTGAGGGCCCTCGCCCCGAACCTTAAAGCTCTCCAAGCCCTCAAGCTTGCAAAAGCAGCATGTGCCCCGACTGCGCAGCCCGCTGACGAGTTGGGCGAGGATGCGTCACCACGGCTGGAGAAAAAGCGCAGGACTAATGAAGAGATGGCCAAGGCCGTGTGTTTGAGTTTGGTTGGCTATGGGACGCGACTTATAAGCAGGACTTCCTTGTGTTTGAGTTTGGTTGGCTATGGGACGCGACTTGCAAGCAGAACTTCCTTGTGTTTGAGTTTGGTTTGCTATGGGACGCGACTTATAAGCAGGACTTCCTTGTGTTTGAGTTTGGTTTGCTATGGGACGCGACTTGCAAGCAGAACTTCCTTGTGTTTGAGTTTGGTTTGCTATGGGACGCGACTTATAAGCAGAACTTCCTTGTGTTTGAGTTTGGTTTGCTATGGGACGCGACTTGCGAGCAGAACTTCTTTGTGTTTGTTTGAGTTTCCATGTAAGCAACTATGGACAACTAAACCATTCATCCTTGGCCTGTTTTGCAGTCCTGTCAGTATTCCCAATTCTGCACCTGCAGCCTCATTTTACAGCAGAACACCCAATTCTAATCCTCCAACTGTGTTCCCAATCCTATGGCAGCGAGCTCATCCTAAACTTGCGAAAGCCTGCAATCCCCGTCCTGTCGACCAGGGTCCCATCCCCATCCCTGGCCAGGGCTCCCAATCCCCTCCTTGGTCAAGGTTGCAATCCCCATCCCTCAGACAGGGATCCCATCCCCATCCTCACCCCCGACAGCAATCCCCATCCCAAAAGTAGTGTAGCACGCCTAATCCCTAATCCTCGCCCTGGGCCCCACATCCCATCCTGACGTCGTCAACCCTATTCCCCATCCCGCCTGACCAGTACCTGCCCCCAATCCCCCATCTCTGCAACCCTCTGGTCCTGCCAACTAGACCACTCATCATTCATTCACCCGACATCCGTAGAGAAAGGGCTGCCATCGCCACCAACTCAGTATGCGAAACGTAGTTCATCAATTAGACTTCACCTCCACACCTCTGAAGCCACCTGTAAACCTAATACTCCGGGTCACTGTCGGGGGTCTGCACAGGTTAGGACCTTCAATTGCTAATTGCAGTGGTGTCACCAGACCAGAAGTGTGTAATAGGTTGGTGAGGTGGGCAAGAACCTAGATGCATCATATGTTGGATGAGATGGACGAGCATGCTCGGACTGAGACACAATTACTCTTTGCGCAATCCGGAAGGAACGCCGTAAAACAAGGCGCTGCGTTCGGAGCCTTGGAACGGCGTAAATGAGAAGCGCAAAAGTCCGAAAGATGTGCAGTGTAAAGAAATGGCCGAGCATAAGGCGGTTACAAAAGTTCTCATGACGCAGGCATATTACATTACATTACATATGGGATGTGACACCCGGAAAAAAATGAAGCGTCAAGCAAAAAGAAAAAATAATTAATGAACGTTGTGTTCGAGAACTGCAGGAAGAGATGTGTACGGAGTTGCGCATTAAAACCGGACTGCAAAATTAATGAGCAAAGTATTCACAGTAAGGCGAGGAAGAGGAGGGAGAGGAGGGAGAGGAGGGAGAGGAGGAGAGAGTATAGGAAGAGGACAGGAGACGCGTTCAGGGAGCGGAGGGAGAGGAGGGAGAGGAAGGGGAGAGGAGGGAGAGGAGGGAGAGAAGAATGGGGAGGGAGAGGAAAGGGAAGACATGAGAGTGAAGAGCACGTTTGCCGTATTTGTCATTTCCGACAACAAAGCTCAGGATCTTCCCAACGCATCCCAGAATACATGACAACGTGAAGCAGCAAGCATAGAACATAGGTCAAAACGTCGCAACGAACATAGAACCTTGTACTCGAATACTGCAGGTAGAGAAGTGTAAGGAGTTAATCCTCAAATGCCAAGCCCGAAGAATTCTTTGCATGACCATTATATTGCCTATTGTTTTGGGGGTCAAATCCTCAAATCCCGATGGGATTTGACCCGGAATTGCTTGGGAATTCATGAGGTCGAATTCCGAGATTCCGACTTCCTGCGCCGCACTTGCCGTACCGCACTACAGGACGAGCACTGCAGCACCCTCGAGCGCACCCACTACAGTCTAAGACAATTCCTCATTTGGGCAAGCCGAAAAACGCGTAGCGTGTGGTTTATTTAAGGCTTTTTCCGAAGTGAAACGCCCCGTATGGCGGCCACTGCTGTGGTGAAACCCAACAGTCGACCGATAGCTTTGGAAGTTCTTACCGAAAAGATAACGATCTATCCTCTCATATATATATATATATATATATATATATATATATGAGAGGATAGAGGATATATATATATATATATATATATATATATATCCTCTATATATATATATATATATATATATATATCCTCTATATATATATATATATCCTCTATATATATATATCCTCTATATATATATATATCCTCTATATATATATATATATATATATATATATATATATATATATATATATATATATATCCTCTATATATCCTCTATATATCCTCTATATATCCTCTATATATCCTCTATATATATATATATATGGAGCTGCTACTGTACGTACGCCCCCCAGCGGTTTGCGCCGACTTTCGACTTCCCCATAAACTACGTGCTTGTACTGCTTTTTAAGTAACAGTTTCAAGGCATGAAGCTGGCATCTGTTGTGTCACGACAACAGAAAATTACCGATCGGTGGATTCGTTTATTGTCTATAGACACTCCGCCTTGCAGACATCGAGGTTCGGCCTGGTCCGGCTTTCGGTGAGTGAAACTGCAGCAGCTGCTCTGCTAGCTACCTAGCAAGCGCATGCTTGCCGTTGGTGTAATTCACGTCATGCTTTATTATTTGCAGTTCCTGCCCCTTCATATGCATCCACCTCACCCACGTAGCCACCACAGCAGCGTATGCGCCTGCTGCTGCGCCGCACTAGCTATTTTCTCACACCTGCTGAGAGTGCGGCTTCGATATTGTTGTTTGGGTTGATGGGGCGTTTTACTGTAGGCGGCTCGTCCTGAGAAAGGACTCACGGCTATGTTGTTGCAATGTTGTTGCTTGTTGTTGTTTTTACATTGTTACATTGTTTATTTATCGGCCATCAGACGTCTTACAGATGTTCGTTGTCCATCATGTTAGGATGGCTGCAGCAGCCTGTACTGGGATGGTGCAGCGAAACATGATGAGTTCATGCGTTTCATGGATAGGCGGCATGCAAAGCTGGATGACTGTGCTAAATGACCTCATTGACCGTCATTGTAACCATGGAACACAAACTAAGTACATGCTGTGGTTGCCGATTGATGAATGGAATGCAGGGCTTGCTTCTTGCACTTGCTCATCACGTACGTGCGTGTGGCTGTGCCATCTATAGCAGCAAGGAAGGGAAGCACTGCAACAGCATGGCAGGGGTTCCTGCTTCTGCTACAGTCGCCAGCTCCAGACGCCATCCGAACACAGGTTCCATTTCCGCAAGTGAACCCGGCTCTGATCGTCTGTCACAACAGCCTAATGGGCCCAAGGACTCCCCAGGAGCCATCACTATCCCCTCATCTTCACCCTCAGTACGCAGCCTGCGGTGGAGTAATGGCATTGGGCAGAATACCGCCTTCCTATGGCTGTTGCTGCTCACCACCACTGTTGGTATTGCGGCGGTTGCAGACACACCACCACCACCGCCACCGGTCACCTTGCCCTGCAGCAATAGTATCCTTCGCATCCTTTACCAGGGTGCGGAAATCACCAGTGCTGCCGATGTACCTGTGCCTTTCCGTGCGTCTGATACTGGCAGTATACGCATCAATCAGTCGGTGATATCAATGATGGATTATGCTGTTGATGGGGGTTCCTGGTACTCTGGTCAATTGGCAGATCTCTATTTCAATAACACTGACAGCTCTAACGTGGTCTCCTATTTTCGTGCACTCCCGAATTTAGAGTTTCAGAGGCGCTTCAATGGCACACCAGGCTGCAGTCCATTGAGTATGGATGAGATGAATAATCCAACTTTCTCAATTTCATATCCTCTTTCTCCTGGTATCAGACTTGGCTTCGCAATCTATTCTGCCCTGCTCCGTGCAGCACAGAGTGGTGGTGACATCTCAGACTTTCAATATTGTGCGCTGTACCCCTTCTACTTATTTGGTCTGTTGCGGACAGCGAATGCCAGCTTTGCCCCAATAGATGGAACGCCAGAAATATGGTTGAGTGGCAAGTGGGTGACGGCGGGTGACCCGAGCGACTCTGTCTGCCCCAACTCGCCGACCAGCTGGGGCTACGTCCCGCTGGAGTTTTACTTTTGCCCCTGCCCTTCACCACCCCCACCACCATCCCCGCCTTCACCCAGCCCGCCCTCCCCATCACCACCCAGTCCACCCTCTCCACCACAGCCACCCAGCCCTCCTTCCCTCCCACCACCCTCTCCACCACCACCCAGCCCGCCCTCCCCACCACCACCCAGCCCGCCCTCTCCACCACCACCTTCCCCTCCCTCCCCACCACCACCACCCAGCCCTCCCTCCCCACCGCCACCCAGCCCTCCCTCCCCAACACCACCCAGCCCGCCCTCCCCAACACCACCACCCAGCCCTCCCTCCCCACCACGACCAATGCCCCCACCTCCACCACCACCACCATCACCACTGTCGTCACCACTTCCCCCTTCTCCAGCACCATCCTCATTCCTTCCCCCTACAAATATGCCTTCTTCACCGCCACCTGCATCCCAGCTCCCATCCAGCCCTCCACCTCCTTCCCCTTTCCAGCTTCCGTCACCCATGCCATCAATGTTACCACCCCCACCACCGGTGCCAGTGCCAGTGCCAGAGCCTCCTGTATCAAAACCCCCAAGCCCGCCATTACCCACTGCATCAGGACCACCATCCCCAGCTCCGTCCCCTTCATCTCCTTCACCTCCCCCGCCATCTCAGTCTCCAGCGACCCTGCCACCTCCACCCCAACAAACTCCCCCCAAGTCCCCCGAGTCCCCCAAGTCCCCCAGGACACCCAAGGCTCCCAAACCCGTCAGCCCACCACCTCCATCCCCAGGAGGGAATTCCATCTTGGCCAACGACTTCCCCTTCCTGGATTGCAAGGGGAGTACTGCCACTTCACCGTACCGCATGTCGTCCCTTTCGGGCCCCTTCAATGTCACGGACTTCACAGCCACCTACTGTTTTACAGCGGCCCTCAGCAGCTCCCCGGTACCGGGCAGCTCGTGCACCTCAACGACCATTGACAAGATTGCTTTCATTCTCGGTGAGTAATCTAGCGTTTCCAAACAGGCTGCGGTTGTTCGGACTGACGAATGACAGACAGCCAGGAAGTGTTAGCTACATATAAGATGAAAAGGAGCCCAAGGTAGTAGAAAGGGGCTACGACCCCTCACCACGAAATGAGAACAGAGCGCGACAACACATGGCATCAAAGCAAGCCGGGTCAAGGACGCAATCCAATTGCACGAAATATAGCGAACTCTGCCACCCCTGAGCAGTACGACGCCCAAGATCGACTCGTCTTCAACCGGCAACCGAACAAGCCACCCATCACAGCACACACTTGAACGATCAAGCATACAGTCCCATTCGGAATGGCAGGCAACCTTTGGTCGCCGGTTGGGAACCCCAACCGATTCCAAACATTCCGAGACTGCCCTGTAGTGCTCCCCCCAGACAAAGGTGAGGCCCTCTAGCCGGAGGGGGAGCACTACAGGAGGGGGAGGCGAGGGGGACCCTATACCCGGCTTCCATACATAACAGGATTCATCATGAGCTAGTCCCTGCCCAGGATGCATGGGGGTGTTGCAATCTCCCTCACAGCCCCAGGACCTGCAGAATCCGCTGTGGAGTCCACTGAACTTGTGAACAATCCCAAATCCTGTGTCGAGTTACTCAACAGTTCACAAGAAGGAAGATGACCCGATTCACATTCAAAACGACAAATATTAGTTATCATGTCTATTGGAAGACGATTCACCTACATGCACGTACATGTATGTGTACATGTTGCTAATTGAATTGCTGTCGTACATACAGTAGTAGTAGGATATACAAAAAAATATTCACACGACGGTCGCACCCTGTTATCGTCATTCCTTCCTTCCGGCAGTTGCATCGTTTGCTAGCGAGATCTTGCACATATAGAGACTCCAGGTCGTCAGATCGACAATAGCCGACAAATTCAAGCAAGGACAGGCGGGGGACGACTGCTGATGATAGAGTGTAGCTGGCCGCTGAAAAGGCCTCTATAGATGCTGGCGGAGTGCCTTATTAGCGCGTATTTATAGACGATATGTGTGCCGTACTATGTACAGCTACTAAATGGCTGGAGTTCGTTGTAGACCCACCCAATTGGATGTGCTCCCAGGAATGTGAATGCACCAGAACCACCACCACATACATCCCTCACCTTACTAAGACAGGGTATTAAGCAAGTTGTGGCTAAGGTGCAGAAGCCAAAGTCAAGGAATGTAGCTGGTTTACGTAGTTCTATACATGCTGGTAGAGTGTGGTAGTCAGTTTGTTGGACTTGGTCAATTAGTAAGGATGAACCATTCATGGAGGGATGCCCCGGGGCACAACCCGCTCAACACAAGGCGCTGTCATTTGTTCGGATCCTCTAGCCATCTACATTCACCAGCCTGACGTGTATCCGTCAGACGGCAAGCAACCAGGAATTCACATGGCGAAGTATAAGCATTGGATGGGGCTGGCGGCCGAGCAAGCGGGCAGGAAGGAGGTGCTCCCGCACATCACAATGTTTATCCCACGTTCGGCGAATCGCAAGCTTATGCAGTTTAGACTTTGCTGTTGGGCACTGGCGGCTAACAGAGCGCGTAAGGGACGGCGTTATATACCTAGGGAGGAGCGAGTATGCCCTTGCTGCGGCACTGATAGCCACATCGAGGATGAGAAACACATTTTGCTGGACTGTCCGGTTTACGACGGAATCAGATCTGATATGGGCTTTCCACGCTTCGAACATATGAAGGACGCTATGAAGTGGGAACCTGAACGCCTGGCAAGGATGCTGGAACGTATATGGTCTCACCGCAACTCTATCGTTCCCTTTGGTCGTTAGTATACTTCATCACTTGTTTCGCTGGAAGTGCGAGGTAGGATGGTGCTTATAGGCGATTTGGCAGCCCTTGAGCCCTCGGCTCGTACTAGGGTGGTTTGCAGGTACGGGGAACGCACCCACGACCATGTAACAACAACAACATTCACCAGAAACGCCAAGCAAGCTCCATTCCACCGAAAGCATGCTGCACGATCTACAATGCACTCACACCGGTGTCAATCACCCTACCTGGCAAAACCTGTCCCTGCCCGGTTTCGTTATCCAATCGTTATCTGGTAAACAGCCTGGTCCAGAACCTACGGACAAGTCGGGTGTCAGCTTCCTCGAAGCCGGGAAAAGGGTGTGCGCCCTCTGCATCCGTACAGGGCGGTAGCTAGGGTAGTGTCAACGTGGTTGGAGCTGTGCTTGTTGCAGCAGCGCTGATGCTGTGGGAGCTTGTCAGAACGTGGGAGGCAGGAAGCTGGGGCTCATAACCTGTTGAAGAGACGGTGTCTCTCTGGAACCTAGCAGACATGGCTAAGAGTCATTGGCCATTACACGTAGACTGGAGGTCCGCGACCTGCCACCGACAGCCCCTTGCTTGGGCGTAAACGTATGAGTCTGAGGTGCCGTTACCGGCACACAGCTGTGGTGCCGCAGTCTAAACACACACGGAAAACAGCACCATACAGCACAGTACGCACTGCCTACAGCGTCCCTTCAGGCATTGACCTGCCCATTCAGGCGCCTGCTCACGGGCCCTTGGCCCCCCTCAAAGCCTAGCTCGACACACTTCCCCAAAGCCCGCAGCACGTTCATGTGCTGTCTGTGATGTTTATTCCCGAAGCACCAGCGGCTTCAGCAATCCGCCCCACAGCCGCGCGGCACACTGCAACTCTTCGGAGACCCCGAGCATTGGCCAAATTAATTGTACAAACGGGCAGCTTGCGTACTTCATAGAGAAATGAAAGCAAATTTGTCGGCCTGCTGATGGCAAGTCGGAATGCCCGTGCGGGCAAATAGTAACACAAGCTGGGTTCGAGTTATCATACCCCGTCATCTCAGAACTCATTTATGAGATATGCGGCACCCTTTGAGATGATATTTAGCCCGAGAGGTGTTGATGTGACTTTGGGTTCGGTGAATGTAGGCAGCCAAACTTGTTTGTGCTCATACGATTTTTGTTGGCTACAGGCGAGATACCTTGCAATAGAGAATGCAATATATTACCAATAAAGCGTTTCAGCCGGGCGAGATATTATGTCCCTTACGACCGATATATTTGGTCCGTTACGGCCACACGCGACACGGACATGGGCAATCCTACAGGGCGGGGGGCCCCTGGGCGCTTCGCGCTGGGGCCCCGCCCAAAAAACTGTTCCTCCACCACTGCTCTGTGGCAGTGCATAGATCTTCAGGATTGATAATCCTTCCGATGGTGGTATGTAAGAGTGTCCCTAGTCGATGGATGGCGGTGACCTGGGATAAAGTAGACCTGCAAGCTGACCAGGAAAAATGGAGTTGAGTCGCCGTTGATCCGTCAGATTCCGTTGGATGCCGGTGGTGGGTGCGGAACCTGAGCGATCCACTGAGAAGTCGGCTAGGGTGACTGGATGAGGGTGCCCCGAAATGCGGAGGAAGGCAGGGTTTCGCCGGGTAGCGGCCATGGGTGAAGATATGACCCCCCTGTCCCACACATCATACACGTACGTAAACAACATACGGCAAAATATCCAGTTTACTTCAAATTTTCACGTCTGAATCAATTCTGGGGCTTTTCCAGGGGCACTAAGTAGTAGCCGGTACATGTACGGCACCGTGAACAACTACAAATACGCACTACGGTGCTCCCAGCATCTTGAGGAGATTTTTAGCGGCCAGCTACTACACACTATGCCTTGCAATAACATGTTTGCTATGTCTGGAGCCGGAGGGATGCAGAACGGCGCCCCATCCCCGCATCCTGGGGGCCCTGTCGGGGCACGCATCCTGTCGGTTAGGTTTTCGATACATCCTACAAACCCCTTTCCTATCCTCAAGCCAAACATCCTGTGATTGCATCCCCTCCCCTCCCCTCCGCCATCCTCATCCTTGGTGGGTTGGCGTGGACCCTTCCAAACATACCGCCTTCCTGGGCCCTCTGCCATCCTTAACCTGGCGACATTTCTATACTGCTCTTTCCTATGCGTATCCTGTGCCCGACCCTTCACCACATCCTGACCGCTCTGCAACCCTCCTCTGGAGCCTATCACGAACCCATACATAACGATAGGAAAATAACTTTGCCGGGTTCATACATGTCAATCCCAGCGCCATATCCAGAATTAATTATCTAAAAGGTGTTAGGGCAAATCAAGGACAAACTCTTTTGGCATATACGTTCATTCGGGAATGGACTTCAGTTTCTCACCATTAGGATTGCGTTCGTCGATATTTGTTTATGGTCTATACTGAGAGATAAATCATATGTTTACTCATTGTACGGAATAGTCTATAGATCGTGCCATGGTATAATAGACTACAGGGCTGGTCTATAGACACACGTTCTTAAAGGGTGCATTTCCAGTGCGGATTAAGGCCAGGGATTAGGGCACGGAAGTCCTTGGTACGAGCTTACCACATAGTTTCGTTCCATAAGGAAACCAAAGGTTGAAAAGGCGAGGTAAGTTTGGCAACAACTTAGCCGTTTGAGCAAGTACTTGCTTGGCAAACTTACCTCGCCTACTAGTATCGATGGAGGACAGAGGGTTAATCCCTGGCCTTAATCCACACTGGAAATACACCCAAACTTTACCAGATGCTTGACTGACAAAGTGCATGCCTACCCGACACCAGTGATTTTTTTCATTTAGGGCGGGTCTCAATTTATTCCGACCTAAGTAACACAGTTGCTAGGGTCGCCGTAATTTATTCCGTAAGTGTGGGGCGCTGGGGGGGGCTACGGGGGGCCCCCCAGACCCCCCCCGATAAGTTACAACTCCCCTCATAGACCAAGAGGCACGCACTGAGTTGGCGCGTTTTCGTTCATGTGTGCACTCTTCATGCACATGCATAGATAGTTCTGGCACTGTTTGTGAGTAGGGTTGGCAAAAATACTATATTTTTTTACCCAAATAGTATAGTATAGTAAGAAATAGTACTATATATAGTAATGTAGTACTATGATACTATTACTAGGCAGGTACACGCTCCCTGTAGAAGGGGGGTGTACGACCAACCGTTGTACCTGAAAATTACACCGTTGGAAAGGTCTTCTTTTGTTCTTTCTAAATACCTACTTAGACATGAGAAAGCAGATCGCTGTGGTCATCCAGATCACTTTTTGTTAGTTCAGTGCCCGGTAGGTGGACCCCAAACCCCATGTCTCAAGGCGTGTTATGGCACATAAAGACATAATCACAGATAGAAGACCCAGTGTTGACAAGACAACACACGGACGCCATACTAGTGAAGACTTGCCCCGCGAGAGTCGCGGGAATCACTGGGAGGAGGGTCTGGCCATCAATGCCGCGCCGGCGCTTGGAGAGGGCCTGCTGATCCGCCGTGCTGGGACCCGCCGCAGCAGAGCTGGTTCCACTCTGTTGCTGTTGCTGGCTGAGTGACGCTGCACGCTGTTTGATAGCCTTGCAAGCACCTTGCTTGATGTGGTGCGCGTTGGTAAAGGATGGGTTCGCGGCGCTGAGCGGCTCATCGCAGAACAGGCAGACTAGCTTTGGTAGACCACCACTCCACATCGAAGTTGTCCCAAAGACTACCCGTCTTGGCGTTCTTCTTCTGGTTACGTAGCTTGTTAATAAGCTCGTTCCGAGAACGGAGAACTTCAGGGGGGACGTCTGGACCAGGATGCAAGCCTCTGATCGCCTTGTCATTCTTTATACTGGATTCCTTTGACATTATTCATCAATAACTACGTAGCACAGCTCGAAGACGCGGCTATAGCCCTTCAAAATACAGCTTGACTGCAGATCTCGACTTGGTCCAACTAATACTGGACACTATCCAAACCCAAATCTAGTACTATCTAGTACTATTTTTACTATACTATTTTACTATGTACGAACGCGGTACGAGCGTCGTAAACTAGTACCAGTTTAGAGCCCTGCATAGTAAATAGTACTATGCATAGTACTATTATAGTATAGTACTCTTTTCTAGTATAGTACCCGTGCCAACCCTATTTGTGAGCAATAAGTAAATCCGACCAAGCAAAAGCCCAAAGCAAGCAAACGCATAGCAAATCACAGGCCGTCACCCGCCACTGCAAACCACAGCACACTAGGACTCTACCGGTTCATCATGTACCGGCCCCTGCTGCTACTGTCCGTATGGCGCCCGTGTCATCGGTCGCCGCTGGCAGCAACACCATTGCCGATGCATTACCGACAACAGCACCGCCATCCCAAACGCCTTTATCAGGAAAAAAGTTTCAGGCTTATCTTGCTGTTTTGGTGTTTGTTCGATGTTCGAGTCGTTGCCTTTTGCGTGTTTGGCTATGTGAGGACCGGTCATACATTCTGCTATGCCGCGTTGACTCACGGGCTTGACCTTCTTACGGCCCCTCATATCTATCCTATGATTGATAATTCTAAGTTCTGCACACTACGGAGCAATCTGGCAGCAATGGACGTTTTTGGCTGGGGGAATGAAAATGTACGGATCGGCCTCAATTCATTCCGTTTTTCTAAAGGCCAAAATTGCCTGTTTATTCCTTTTAAGGAATATATTTCTTTAAAAAACACTGCCCGGCACGTGAATAAACCCCTCGTGCCCCACCTGCCCTACCTGCCCTACAGACATATCCTGCGTGAGTGACGATGCCAAGCGCCTCCAGAGTACCACAATCAATGGTGAAGTTGTGACCTTCAACTACCGGACGAAAAAGTGGAAGGGCGAGCAGTTCGGCTTGCTCATCTTCGACAAGCTGGATAACACCTTCCCAGTGACCCCAGCTACGGGATTGCGCCTGTGCATGGTGCTGCAAACCGGCGGCTCCTGCAGTACACCCGCGGGAATGTGCCAGGGCGGCGCCAGCAGCGGCAGCTGCGTCTACTTGCTGTCTGATGCTGTCTACTCTTGCTGTGCAGTCAGTGAAGCGCTGCTCTGAGCCGGTGGATGTATGGCGATGTTTATTGTATGATGCCTATCTGACCTGCTGCGGTTGCGTGCTGCTACTGCAAGCCTACCTTGCATTGTGCTAGGTAAGCTTTACAGTGATATCAGCATTCGTGTATGAGGGCCTAGTCACAAATTTATAGCATGACGAGTAATCACACACAACTACAGTTTTTTGAGTAGTTGCCTTACCGCTTAGGGGTCGTACAGACGGAGGGGTACCTGCAGGCAGGAAAGTGTGCTTGACTTCCGTGGGTGGTGGGGGGTGAGCCTGGTTACCGAGCGACTCTGCTGCTGAACACTGTAGGTTAGGGCAGAAGCCGCAGCGGAAGCCTGTCAGTACTGACACTATGAACTCGCGCGACCTATTCTAGCCCTGTACGGTCCAGCCGTACACACCAACGACATCCAACCAAGTACACTCTCGGCAAATACACAAAACACCTTGTTTTTCTTTCGTTTCACTCAGAAAACCTACAGTTAATGTGTACCTATTAATTCTCTACCTGTCCGGTTTGCATGTCTGCATGGGTAGCTATATGCGGCGTACAATCGGTGTTGTCAGCAACAACTTATGATGGTTTGCTTGGCGCGCTGAGGAGCTGAGGTTTATTTCGTAGCTTCGTGACGCTTCTTCTTGGTATCTCCATTAACCCCCCGCATGCATCCTAAACCTCTTCCTACAGCAGCCACGTTGAAGATTGTGATATATGTAGTGGTGATCAGCTATAAGGCTGTGCTTTGGCTCTATTAAATGTATACATTGATATTAGCGTCGCTCTTGCTTCGCTAGGGCGGCTTCATGGGGCGTGCAGGGTAAACCCTTAGTGGGGCGGCTTCATGGGCAGTGCAGGGTAAACCCTTGGCTGCCCATATTGCCACCCCCGTGTTGGGAAGGGGAGGAGCACCAGCCTGTCGGGTGCTCACGGCCGCTGGGAGAGCCAAGGTCTTCCCTGTTGTGGGTTTTCTAGCTTATGGCGGATGCCATGCATCTGTGGTAAGTCCAGCTGCGTTCCTTGAGGCGGCGGTGTGTGTTAATACTGAGGTCCAGTGTACTGCCTGATTCTAAGTTAGCAGTTACTTTCTGGAGGTGTAAGATCAACATTTAACTGCCACTGTTGAGCTGTTCAGGCGCAGAGTTTTGAAATTTTCAAATCTGTGACAGATGTAAGCTAAATGCGTTCATGATCGAATGCGTTGCTGCAAGAGCTTTTGTAACATTTCTTGCATATTTCTGCCACTAAGCAAATACTAAGCGGGTAAGTGGGACCTTAAGATAGGTCCGTTCCTCGAGTGGAGGTTGGTGCAGCGGCAGTGGGCTGCCTGGTCATGCTTCCTAGCTCTTGCTGGAGAAAACCAACTGTCTAGGTGTTACGGGGAATGTACCCTAGCGGGATGTGTGCCGTCACTGCTCGCCGCCACGCCCCGTCCTCGCGGACGTATGCAAACTCGAAAACGGTGTTACTCTTCCACCGCCCCAGCTTTTGCACCTCTGCCCGGTCAGCGCCGCCTTACACGAGGGCCGTGGCGCCCCCACGGCGTAGGGAGTGCGGGCACAAGTCGCGCCGCACGCCTGCCTCCGTGCATAACGTCCAGAGCATGTCGCGGAACTTGTGAAAAGGCATAGCCTCGACTGTAGACGGGAGTGCCGCCACGACCTCCTCTAGGCAGTTGACGGACGTTGGATGCAGGACGTTGACAGCGCGCAGCAATGGGCCGACATCCTCCGCATCGGCTTCAACCCCATCGTGCCGCACCGACATGCGTGGTGTCCGCAGCTGCTCCAAAAGGAAGCACCGGGCAGCACGGCCCGCCGATTCTGCTGATGGTCACAAAGGCACCCTTGCAGTGCTGGTCGGTCTTGCTTTTGAATAAAAAGATTTCCACGCGATCTCCGTAGATATGGAGCAGGTCGGTATGCACCAGCACATGGCTTAGATCGTCAAAGCAGAGCAAACCGCAGAACGTGAGCACCGCGCCTGTGACGACCATTCTAGTGAGCAAGGGCACACCTTCGCGGATATGATATTCCACCAGTTGCGACACCTCCTTCGGGGTTGCGACGACTAAGTTCCTGGGGGTTGCCGACAGCGTCCGACGGGCGACTTCCTGGACTCCGGCACACAAGGAATGTATGCATGGGGTAGGCAAACCTGCCAGCTCGTGAAAAGCGGACACCGCTTCGCTGGCCCCATCCACTGCTTGGTGCCTGAATTCGTGATAGTGGTCATCGCTTATTGTAGCATGTCCGTCTAATTAAAAGACCAGACTATATGAGCTTACAAGCTAATTAGCTATGATTCAGCTTGAATGTGCTTGTCAGGAGTATCAATGGAGGTAAAGTAGCATGCACATATGCGTACGACCACCCCCGGCCGGTAATATGTCGGCCGACCTCAGGGCTGACTGCCTGATGTTTCACAATGACAACTATTATATAACATTGGATGACAACCAAAGGCATCCATTTAGTGAAGACCTGTCGTCGACTTGCGTGTGTGCTGCCAGCATTCGCCCCTTCTCCTGTACTCATCTACAAGCCAAACAGGCCAAGACATAGGTACTTATTGCTTATTCCTTGCGTGTGTGATGCTAGCATTAGAGACCTTAAGGTTGAAATGGCAAACGATGCTTCCCGAGATACCACGATACTGTAGGTTGCTAACGTTTACATTTTTAGAAGTATCCTTAAGCGGAATTTACGATGTGGGAAGCATATAAGACGAGTAGCCTATAGGCCCATACATATGTCCATAGTCCAGGGCAACGGAGGGGTTTACCCTGGGGCCGTGTTACCCCTCCTGCTGGGTAGGAACTTACAAGGGGGTTACCGAAGGGCTACCGGGGGTTGAAGATGGGTAACCCATGGGTTACTGACCCAATCAGTGCCTTAGGGTTTCCTGCCTGCGCTCGTCCTAACTCATGCAGGCTTTCATGCAGTCGATGGCATACATATTTGCAGGCAGGCGGCTGGCAGAAGTTAAGGCCTGACTTCTGCTCCCAGTCGATCCAGTCGACCCGGGTTCAAATCCGCCTGCCAGCTCCTCGGGTGTTTGAGGAGTGATAAAATGGGAGGTGGCCCCCCATCATATGGACGGTGTAGGACGTGATAATATCAACTTGCGAGCTGACCAGGAACTAAGTTGATGCGCCGTTGATCCGCTAGATTTGGTTGGATGCTGGTGGTGAGTTGCCGAACCCAACGAATACATTCTGAAGTCGGATGGGGTGACGGATTAGGGTGCCCCTCTAGCAGGGGAGAGCAGGGACTGCCCCGGGAAAGGGGGCCGCTGGCGAAGTTAACCACCCTGTAACAACATACATATTTGCAAAGTCCGAAGGCAAATTTACAGCTGCTGAGGTGTGGAGTTGAGGTCACAGTTGACGGACCGAGATTCGCATGCTGGATTGGTGGTGATTGCTGATCCCTCTGTCTCTAAGGATGTTCGGGTGACGTGGTGATGATGAGGGATCCTAGAAGGCAGGATAAACCGCCCTGGACTTGCAGTTTGTAGTACAGTGTGGCAATGGTGGATGGTGCAGTATGGTGATAAATCATAGAAATGGCAATCTGTTAAATTGGCCCAGAAGCCTCCCACTCTCTAAGAACAACAACATCTGTAATTCTTTTGTTATGGTCTGTAGACTGTGCCCGGGTATATCAAATAGATAGTGCCTTTAACCAAACAGTCCGGATAGATTTATGGTTTAGACAACAGGCATGTAGGTTTTTGTAGCGTGCGAAGCGGTTTCTATTAAGAATGCAGTTACGAGCGAGCGAACTGGTTTCGGGGACGGTACTGCTGCAGCGGTTAGCACGCCCAACATGAAAAACGCCGGATTCATCCGTACACATTTTGCCTGGCGTACACCATTTGGATGAGGTCGCTTATTTGCCTGACGGTCTCAATGTTACGGACGCATGATTTATCCTCAATCCTTGGGGGTAAATCAGGGCCCCTGCTTTGCTTTGCTTAAAGCCGCGCCTGTAGCTGCTGTACATAATTCACGAACTAATGCCCCTGGAGGTTCTGGGATCAAGACCCATCAGGGTTGAATCCTTCCGATGATGGAAGGTAAATGTGCCCCTAGTTGATGGACGGTGGTGCCTGGGATAAAGTTGACATGCGAGCTGACCAGGAACGGAGTTGATCCGACTCATGAGTCACCGTTGATTCGACAGATTCCGTTGGATGCCGGGGATGGGTGCGGAACATGAGCGATCCACTGAGAAGTTGACTAGGGTTATAGGATGAGGGTGCCCCGAAATACACACACACATATATACACACACACACACACACACACACACACACACACACACACACACACACACACACACACACACACACACACACACACACACACACGCGCGCGCGCGCGCGCGGTGGCGCTTAATTTCGCTCATCATTTGGAAGCAGCAGCCTCATCAGTAGCTACTGGCAGTAGCCATAAGTGCAGCTCGGTTCGCACACACACAGTAATTGGAGCAAAGTGAGTATTGAGTAAATTCGTCGCAGTAAATATATTATCGTCTCTAGCCAGGGTCATCGTATAATCCGAGAAATGGGTGGAATGTAGATTCACGGCCGTCACAACGGCCTACGAGCAGACGAATTTGGGCAGGTCCTGCCCAAACGGCTGCTTAGAACGAGACGCGTACTTTAAGCCTCTGCCTTGCAAATTGATTTGTGTACACCAAATTTGTGTGGTGCTGTCAGACCGAAAGGAAAGGGAAATGCCTGCAAAGCAGCCGGAAACGTTGTTTTTTAAATAGTTATACATAAATGTTTAGACATGGATAATATGATAATACGCAGATACAGAGGCGGCTCGGCTCCTCAGGGAGCCAGTCAAACCCGGTTCCGGTGCACCTGTTGCCGGCCTGAAAATAGATGATCTATAGACACTCCTTAAAGCATCTGTAAAAGCATATGAAAAATGTTACAGTAGGTGTGGCGAGCCCCAATGCCTTCATTCCACTAATAACTTATTAGCTGTTTGAAACAGCTGCTGTGCGTAGGTGCGCAGCGGAGCGACCACCGCCGCGACCATGCGTTGAAGCATGACGTAGCAAGGCCACCATAACGATGGATTCGAGCGGACACATAATTCTGTAAGGTTAACGCAAGGCAGGCCGAAAAGCAAAATGTGGAGACTGGGAGGTTATTTTCAGAGAATCGCGCGCTTCGCGGATTAATATACTAATATATAGATTAATATGCTGTACAGCTTATAGAAATTGGTGATTGGCCCTGAGAAAGCTTACAAGCCTGTTTCGTAAACTGGTGGTTTTCCAGAAACCAGCCCACGGATACAGCAGATGCCAGCATCATGCCTTGAAATAGTTAGTACAAGCACGTAGTTCATGGGGAGGTCCAAAATCCGCGAAAACCGGTGGCGGGCGTACGTAGGGTAAAGTTGAGGAGCGTCTATAGACTGTCGATTTTCAGTCGTATCTATCTATTAGACCATGGCACGATTAATATGCTATGAAATGCGCGCATTCTTCCTATACTAAAAGCTCAAACTTGGTGGGAAAAATTTGCTAACTGGTGGCCACCAGGTATCAAATTGACAATCTCGGATACCTTAATCCGTGACTTTTAATCCAAGTGGAAACACCCCCTAAAAGTCACGGATTAAGGTATTTTTAATTCACGCCAATCCACCGCTAATCTGTCGGAGTGTTTCATACGTCTGGATTAAGACACGGATTGAAGTACGACATTTGCCATTCCGTGCATAAAATACAAACACGAGTATTGCCAGACATTTAATAGACTATCGAGTATCAACATGAAGGCCTTGCAGCACCTTTGAACGACACCACGGTGTGGTGCATAATGCCGAACAAGAAGCACAAAGCTTCCGCAAAACTACGAACACCTACAGCCTTTATAAAGGATAAAACCTTCCGACCTATCAATCGGGCTTTTTACGAGGCATCGTAAAAAGTGTTAATCCGAGATTGTGAATTTGATACCTGGGTGGCCACCAGGTAGCCATGTATGGATGCCATTGTCGCTCTCTTAGCTGATATCCCGGCGCATTGGCGACAGGCGGCTAGTCTTTTGCTGCTTCTGAGTGTAGAATCTAGGGCAGCGGTGGTGCCCTTCATTGAGTCGGCCAGAGTCGGCTACCCAAACCCTGGTGTCGAGGCTTGGTTGGAGATGGGGTGCAGGGCCTCCAATCAGATTTAAAGATTTATCCGTTAAATATTAGCGACTAATATGCAACTTTCGCCACTTTCTGTGGCTCGCCGATTAGCCCACACCCTGTTCATCAAAGAGGCGACGGGCTCTTCGGAGGTACTGGGTGAGGCTATCCTTATTCTGCAATGGACCTTCCATCGTTTATGGTGTCATATACGATGGGAAAATGAACAAAAAGAGGTTTGGTGGCGTCTCACGGTTGATGGGGTACCTATGTTAGGAAGTTTCCATCTCAGGATGTCGCGGCCAACAGTGTGTGGTTGTGGAGGTTATCCAGTACAGCTGGGAGATGTATCCCTTCATGAGCGATCGCTGTCATCACTTCTGGGCCTGTCCGGTGGCACAGGCTTAGCTTGCGCTGACGTCCATGGGCCCCGCGGATCAGGACTGACGATGGAAGACAATTAGAAAATGCATGAGCAAAATGATATCTAATAAAGGAAAAAGACTTGGCTAGTAGACGTTATCACCCAAAAATTGTTCAAGTTCTATCAATGAATGCGTTCTTCTTTCCGTTGTCTTCCATTGTCAGTCATGTTAGGCAGTTGGCGTTCGGAGCTTAATTAGGCCCTCGACCCCAGCACAGATGCCGCACCGCATGGTTCCCCGTCTGCAAGGCGACTGGCACGGTGACAAATATCGCAAAGTGCGAAGTACTCGTCTTCGGAGGAACAACGCGCGAGTGCAAGCGGCGCATGGAGGCAGCAGTGTATTCGTCGGGTGGGACCAGCTGGTCCCAGCCTGCAGGCTGCACGTGTCGACCGGGAGTGAGGTCTGTAGAACCAAGGAAAGGCTTTTTCAAGGTGCCGGTACTATGGCGACCCCCTACATACGCGCTCTTGAAAAATTGTGGCCAATGCCTTGGGTTTCCCTTTGCAAGCGGACCAATCCGCTTAGCGGCGGAAGGTTTATTAGCCACTACCGATGCTTGTTGACAGTTAACCAAATATATAAAATGTGTAGTAGGTTTTCTTATACCTTGTTCCGAAATGAAACGCCCCGTACGGCGGCCACTGCTGTGGTGAAACCCAGCAGACGACCGATAGCTTTAAAAGTTCTGCCGGAAAGGTAACGATCTATTCCATATATGGTCCTACACATAGCTTTCTGGAGCTGAGAAAAAAAATCGTGAACTTGGAGCTACCGTACGTATGCCCGCCAGCGGTTTCCGCCGGCTTTCGACCTCCCCATGAACTACATGCTCGTACTGCTTTTTAAGTAACAATTTCAAGGCATGAAACTGGCATCTGTTGTGTCATGACAACAGAAAATTACCGATCGGTGGATTCATTTATTGTCATAGGCAGTCCACCTTGTGGACATCGAGGTTCGGCCTGGTCCGGCTTTCGGTGAGTGAAACTGCAGCAGCTGCTCTGCTAGCTACCTAGCAAGCAATCATATGATTGCAATCATGCATGCTTGCCGCTGGTGTAGTTCACGTCATGCTTTATTATTTGCAGTTCCTGCCCCTTTCTATGCACCCACCTCACTCACCTAGCCACCACAGCAGCGTATGCACCTGCTGCGCCGCACTAGCTATTTTCTCACTCCTGCTGAGAGTGCGGCTTCGATATTGTTGTTGGGTTGATGGGGTGTTTTACTGTGGGCGGCTCGTCCTGAGAAGCTCGTCCTGACCGGGTTGTTGTTGTTACCATCAAACGTTTTACAGATGTTCGTTGTTACGACGGCCAGCAGCCTGAACTGGATGGTGCAGCGAAACATGATGAGTGCGTTTCATAGATATGCGGCATGCATAGCTAGATGACTGTGCTAAATGACCTCATTGACCGTAACCATGGAACACAAACTAAGTACATGCTGTGGTTGCCGATTGATGAATGGAATGCAGGGCTTGCTTCTTGCACTTCCTCATCACACACGTACCTGTCTGGACGTGTGGCTGTGCAATCTATAGCAGCAAGGAAGGGAAGCACTGCAACAGCATGGCAGGGGTTCCTGCTTCTGCTGCAGTCGCCAGCTCCAGACGCCATCCGAACACAGGTTCCATTTCCTCAAGTGAACCTGGCCCTGATCGTCTGTCACAACAGCCCAATGCGCCCAAGGACTCCCCAGGAGCCACCACTATCCCCTCATCATCATCCTCAGTACGCAGCCTGCGGTGGAGTAATGGCATTGGGCAGAATACCGCCTTCCTATGGCTGTTGCTGCTCACCACCACTGTTGGTATTGCGGCGGTTGCAGACCCACCACCACCATCGCCACCGGTCACCTTGCCCTGCAGCAATACTGCCGATTTCATCCTTTACCGGGGAGCAGAGATCACCATTGGTGCCGATGTACCTGTGACTTTCCGTGCGTCTGATACGGGTAGTGTACGCATCAGTCAGTCGGTGATATCAGCTATCGATTATAGTATTGATGTGGGTAGCTGGTATACTGGTCCCATGGCAGATCTCTTTTACAACAACACTGTCGGCTCTAACGTGGTCTCCTATTTTCGTACACTCCCGAATTTAGAGTTTCAGAGGCGCTTCAATGGCACACCAGGCTGCAGTCCCTTGAGTATGGATGAGATGAAAACTTCACTCAGCTCATACTCATATAATATTCCTTCTGGTTCCAGAAGCAGCTTCGCAATCTATTCTGCCCTGAGTCGAGCATATCAGACCGGTGCTGACTTCTCAGGCCTGGCAAATTGTGTGCCGTTCCCCTTCTACTTATTTGGTCTGTTGCGGACAGCGAATGCCAGCTTTGCCCCAATAGACGGAGCAGCAGGGATATGGTTGAGCGACAAGTGGGTGACGGCGGGTGACCCGAACGACCCTGTCTGCCCCAACTCGCCGACCAGCTGGGGCTACGTCCCAATGGAGTACTACTATTGCCCCTGCCCTTCGCCACCGCCACCACCATCCCCCCCAAAACCACCATCACCCAGCCCGCCCTCCCTACCACCGCCCAGTCCGCCCTCTCCACTACAGCCACCCAGTCCGCCCTCCACACCACCACCCAGCCCTCCCTCTCCACCACCACCCACCCCGCCCTCCCC